TTTTTTTTTAATTTATTTTATTGTAGATTTATAAGATGGTTTATTACGAGCATCTTTTTTATATTATTTCACATTATTTTATTGGGCTTCACAGAGGTAAGCACCTCGGTTCCTGATTTAACCTTTCTAAACACAGGCATTGCCTACGTTTTATACAAGGTTTTCCAAACATAGACAACAGGTTTGACAAACATGTCATCCTCATCAGAAACAAAGATGGAAGGAGTCCCGTGCAAACGAATAATTTCTTTGAAAAAATAATTTTGAAATATGGCATCAGTAGAGTTTAAACAAGGAATGAACTAAACCATTTCTGAGAATTGGTGGTGTCCCTGAGTCAAGAAGGTCATCAAGTATATTTTAGCTAAAAACTAAACAAGGCTAAACAGAGCTATTCAACTTACGAGTTTTATGCAGTGGTGCAATTTCTTCGTCACTGGCACTACTATCTATTGGATGAGGAGTAACGCTTAATTAATAGTAGACCTAATACACAATTGATGTAGGACATAACATAGAATAAGAGAGATGGAAAGAGAGAATAGGAGAAGAAAATTAGAGCAGGAAATTCTGTAATCAGATTCAATATTAGTATTAGTATTGTGAATAAAATGAAAAACCTAGGCCCCTTTCACACAACACAGTCTTAATGTCTAAGGGAACTTCTAAACAAAACAACGAATAAAATAGCTTAACTCGTAAGTAAGACAAACTACTGAAATCTAGAATACACTAAATTTTATCCTATACTCTTGTTTCACCTGGGGTAGACTTTTAATTGTTTTCCGTCAATATCACTCCAAGTCAATGGGAACTTGAAAAAGATGATGTCTTCTTAAATTCTCCCAGATCAAATTTGTGGGATAGATATTTCCAGAAAAATAAGTCTAGACTAAAAAACACTGATCAACTACAAATATTGCACACTAAGCACCTGTGAATATTAGGAATTATGGCAAATATATATAGTTTGTGCTGAAAGCCTGAAGATAATCACATACCATTTCAATGTTTGTAGGTAGAGTAGCTCTATCAATCGCCTTTGGAATCCATATTTTTATGTCACTCTCTATTCCACTGCTGGCAAGATTCATAGTATGAGGATGAGGTTCAATACAATTAACCACATCCTTATCTGCTTCCATCACACGGATGAGCTTCCCGCCTTTCTTCTTCCAAATGAAAATCCGACCACAATCTGAACCACTCACGACATACTCACATCTAGGCCCATAGAAATTCACTCCCTTCACAGTCTTACAGTTCAGGTGCCCTTTGTAGACCTGGGGAGCAGCAGTTGTATTGCCATCAATGGCTGCTGGAGATGCAACAGAATTATGATCAGGGCTCATATCACCTGCATCGCTGTCATCAGAGACTGAGGATGTGGGAACTAGATCAGGTCCTAGTCCCATGTCCCCTGTAAAAAGATAGATGAACTCATTATTGTAAGATGCAAGAAGCTCTCTCTGATCAGAGAATGCCAACCCTGTAATTCCCACATTCTCATCACCAACTAAATGTGGGGGACAAAAGAAGTTGATGGGCTGACCAAACTCAGTTGATCCATCCCACTTATATTTGCGGATATCAAATAGTCGAGCAAACTGATCTGATCCTCCAACAGCAAAGAAATTAGGATTTCTAGGATCAATTGAAATTGTATTAAGTTGAATGACAGACTTGTAATTCTGAGGGTGAACAGATTGGCAAGTAAAAAGTTCTGTAGCAATTGAAGTTCGCAGATCAATCTGTGGAATATAAAATGACATCAAAACATTAGATTTGTACATTTTGGGTCAGAAAAAGATGATACAAATAGGGTAAGATAGTAGAAAAAAAAA